GTAAAGAGGAACTAAAGAGCCTCTTGATGAAAGTGAGAGGAGAGTGAAAACATTGGCTTAAAACTCAACATTCAGAAAACTAAGATCGTGGCATTTGGTCCTATTACTTCGTGGCAAATAGATGGGGAAACCGTGGAAACAGTGACAGACTTTATTTTGGGGGTCTTACAAAAAAATCACTGCAGAAGGTGACTGCAACCATGAAATTAAAAGACACTTGCACCTTGGAAGAAAAGTTATGACCAACCTTGACAACATATTAAAAAGCAGAGACATTATTGCTAACAAAGGTCCATCTAGGCAAAGCTATGGTTTTCCCAGTAGTCATAGATGGATGTAAGAGCTGAATTATGAAGAAAACTGAGCATCAACAAATTGATGCTTTTGAACTGTGGTGTTGGAGAAGACTCTTGAGAGTTCCTTGGACTGAAAGGAGATTGAACCAGTCCATCCTAAAGGAAATCAGTCCTGAATATTCATTGGAAGGACTGATGCTGAAGCTGAAACTCCAATACTTTGGCCACCTGATGCGAAGAACTGACTCACTGGAAAAGACTGTAATGCTGGGCAAGATTGAAGGCGGTAGGAGAAGGGGACGACAGAGGATGAGATGGTTGGATGGCATCACCGACTCAATGGACATGAGTGTGAGTAAGCTCTGGGAGTTGGTGATGGACAGGGAGGCCTGGCATGCTGTAGTCCATTGGGTCACACAGAGTTGGACACAACTGAGCAACTGAACTGAATGACTGACATCTATTAAATGTATAAAAGTTCTCTGTGAAATATTAGCCTGTAAAACATGGTTCAATGGTTATTTTTTCATCCATCCAATTTATTTATGGACCTATTGGTCTTATGCAATTTATTGCTTTTGTACTTCCACCAGAGGAGGAGAAAAAATAAGAGAAAGAGATGAAACCTAAATGTGATACCACATCTAGTTAAACAGAAGTTTATAGCAGCCTACACAGGTGCTTGTATTACTTCAGCATTTCATGAGCTGCTCTGAAAAGTCAAATGAACATAAAAGGCTAAATTCTGATTTCTACTATATATGGTCAAAGTTTTTCAGATTTAGTTTAAAACAGTGAAATTTGCATGCCCTTTTACCCGCACTGAAAACAGTACTATCAACTATCACACTCTCTCCCAAGAAGCCTAGAATCTTTTTCAATACTTTCAAACTGCTATGAAAATTAATAAAACTATTTATCATATGCAGGTTAGGGGCATAAAAATTACTAGCTGAAAAATTGTAAGCTCTGTTCAGTTAAAATTTTCATAAAAACATTTGTCCTAAAATAGCATAAAAACCTAGCCTATCAATTTGTAATGCATATTTCCTATACATTTGATAGTCCCCATCTAATGTTTAGTTCCTTTCTCCTTTCTTGAGCTGTCTATACAGAGCAGACCTCTAAGAATAGAACATAGAGAAGACAGAAAATTCATGTTTTTAGTATGTTTTTAATTCCAAAGAGCTAGTCATCAAAAAAGGTGGCCCAATATACCAAATTTCATTGCTGCCTTAAACATTACTGTATCATACTGTCATGCTAGATTTCTTCCTTCTAACTACATAGGATGTGTAATTTTACTTCCTAGTCTTAGACTGCCCACTATTTTCTGAACAAGCCAAAGGTTATTTCTAAATTAAGGACTTTTCCCCCAGTAAAAGCAATTATTCTGTATATTATTTCTTTCCCTAACATTTACTGGCTGAAACATTTATATTTATTTATAATGGGAAGCTCCCCTGGAGAAGGTAATGACTATCCACTCCAGTATTCTTCCCTGGAGAATTCCATGGACAGAGGGATCATGGGGTTGCAGAGAGTCAGACATGACAGAGCAACTAACACCTTTTTTTGGTTTGTTTCAATAAAATTTATATTTTGGTTAGTCAACCAAGTTACATCTCTAAAAAGCAATACCAACCCTTGCTTCTCACTCAGCATTTTTCCTTCCAGAGGGAAGATAAGTGGTCAAATGGGAGCTGGCTGAGTCAAGGGAAAATGGTAAAAATGAGTACTTATACGAAACCATGGGAATTCATACTACACATATGAAGTTATTAGTAAGGTAGTATTTTGCAGTTTGAAAAGGCTATGGAGAATTAGAAATACTTGAACAATGAAAGAATTTTTCATCATGCCCCACCTGTCTCTCTATCTTGCTATTCCCCGAGGCTTGCGGGATCTCAGTTCCTCCGTCAGAGACTGAACCCAGGCCATGGTAGTGAAAGTCAGGAATCCTAACCTCTAGGCCAATAGGGAACTCATCTATTTAAAGCAAGCTTCTCTGCTCTTCTCCCTGATGCCTCCTTCCTCCAATTAATCAACTCCAATTAATTAATTTTATAAAAACAGAAAATTCTCACCTAAACCTGATCAATAAAACCAGGAAAACTCAAGAATACTGTGGAACTTAATAGTGTACACGGTAACTTCATGTAGTATTGAAAAGTGCATGTGTGAGGATATATAAAATGGCATAAATGTATTAACATCTTTTTAAGCCGCAGAGTATTCAGGGCTTCCCAGGTGGCTCAGACAGTAACGAATCTGCCTGCAATGCAGAAGACTGGAGCTCAATTCCTGTTGGGAAGATCCACTGGAGAAGGGAATGGCAACCCCAAATCACCATATATACGATACAGGGGAAAATTTTCAACCACATACATTTTAAAATGATTAATAAAATTTACTTAAAAGATAAAACAGGGGAATTCCCTGGAAGTCCAGTGGTGAGGACTCTGAGCTTTCACTGCTAAGGGCTGAGGGTTCAATCCCTGATCAGGGAACTAAGATCCCACAAGATGAATGGCCAAAAAAAAAAAGAAGACAAACAGCAAGGCCAAAATTGCAAACAAGTATTTGACATCAAACAAAACACAAACATTAATATTACTGCAAACATCACTGAAACAAGACAAATTTTCTATAATATAGACTAGGAAAAATGTCAACAGACATTTTTTTCCTTACACTATTAGGACCTGCTGTGTCTTAACAATATTGCCAAATATTTAATTCTCAATCTTTAAAATCTTACAGGATTAATTCTAAAAGGCTGAAACTTAATACTTTCAACAACATAAAATAATAAAGAAATCTGGGATTAAGAATCATAATTTACTAGTTCTGAAACAACTGATGATTTTTGGGAGATAGTCATTGGCTTTAATTGTCACTGGAAAAAAATTTTAAAGTATGGAATGCTAGAAATAGAAAGGATTCTAGAAGTTAAAAATTGTAAATTAAATACCTGATTTTACAGAAGAAGAAATTCTGACCCACAGAGAACTCTTATTTTAGGATTAAGGCAGACAAGGAGTAAAAAAATCAAGAATTCTTAAGCCTTTTCCCCTTTAACTATCTTCCAAAAAAGCAAAGCCTTTAAATTTATTTTCACTAGAAGAGAATGAATGCCTATGATCCTCTAATTTCTGTGACTATGTGCTCTCACTAAAAACACTCCCAAACCTAAAACTTACTAAACTCAGAGAAAAATCAAGCAAGCATAATTAAAATGTGATATGACCTGTACTGGTATTCAAATCACAAAGTGCTAAGTGCTTGTAGGGCTCTCCAGGCAAGAATACTGGAGTGGGTTGCCATTTCCTTCTCCAGGGCATCTTCCAGACCCAGGGATTGAACCCAGGTCTCCTGCATTGCAGGCAGATACTTTACCGCCTGAGCCACCAGGGAAGCCCCGAAGTATCACTAAATTTCACCATAAAAATAGAAATGAAATATAAATATATTGACAGAAACTAAAGATGCAATGACAGAAAAGAAAAAATTTTTAATCTAAAAATATTTTCATTTTTTAAACATTTTTAAACATTTTTTTAACATTTAACATTTTGTTACTTTCCATATAATCACCACAAATTTACTGTAAAGATGCTACCGCTTTTACAGCAAGCCATGCATTCTGCTAGGCATCAGAGACAAAAGATATATCAGACTGTCTATATATGAATACTATGTGCCAGAAAGAAAACCAGATTAATCTGGTTGGTATTTTAGTTACGGAAAATATCAGTTATGTGGCTAATTCTGAAAGAATAAAATATTTAAAAAGGTTACATTTAGTTTCCTAAAATATGCTTTCCCAAGAGGTAAAACCAAATTCAAAGCTAGGGACAATGAGCAATATAGCAGACAGAAAGAAACCCCTGCACTGATTCTCCTGTAATCTTGGGCCTAGCCTTAGCTCTCACACTAATCATATCAAAGTGGAAAAGTCACTTAATATTGCTGGGACTCAGTTTTCTTCTGTAAAGGATATCATAAAAGATAATAGTAAGTTCCTTTCCACATCTATGATTCCATACCAACTGGCTACAACAGGAAGAAGAGAGCAGTGCTCTAAGTCTGTTTCAGCACACGAAATAAATTCACAGACTCTAAGAAATTTAACAGGTGTCTTCTATTTTTAAATACCAGAATTTAAACTAAGTGAATGTATTAAACATATGTAAAATTATTTGACTTACACAGATGCCTAAGAAGCCATTCTTCAACAAGGGAATTTTATTTTTTTAAGTTTTTAATTTTCTTCAACAAGGGAATTTTAAAATGAAATTCTCAAATATTAACAACAAAAAGGAACCTGTTAAGCATCAAATTTCTTAACAATGAGGCAGAAGGGGGAAACAATGAAAGAATAAAAAACTTTTCTTTTTCATGTTACATCTAATTTTCCATGAGTATGATTTGCTTGATATGTGTTTAGATGTTCACTACAAAAATTTTTTGAATTCTCACAACCATTAATACTAAGAAGGCTAAGTAAGATAACTGTCTGGCTCAGTGCCTTTAAACAATAACTGTCAGAGGTGGGTTCCAAGCCTAAATGCTAATTGCTAATTATATCAATTTACAGAGTTCTGAGCTGACATAGGTTATCTCATTGTATTAACCTGCTGAAGAGATGGACACCAACTTCCCAAGATTAAAAACCAGAACAAAACAGACAATTTACATCATTGGGCAAGATATATCAGCAGTGCTGTTAGGACCTGTACACACCTGCGTCTCTCCCTGACCTCCGAAGTGGAGGAGACAGTGCCAGCAGTGGTTGTGGTCACGGTTGTGGTAGAGGCTGCAGCATTAACAACAGTTGGAGCAACAGGAATGGTCACTGCCGTAGGAACACTGTCCTTTTCCTTTTCAGTACTATCCTCAGCCCACAAACGATTTGAGGTACTATAGCATCATAAGCAGCAACACAAAAAGAGAAAAGGAAAACAGCTAAACAATGAAAGCACTTTCTAGCAGCTGAAAACATGTGACTACAGGGATGGATTTAAAAAAAAAAACAAAACACACAACATGAGACATCGTTCAACCATGAACCAAAAAGTTCACCCAGAGCTGTCAGAGAGAAATTTACATTTTAAGAAGCTTAATTCAAGGAAAAGTTCTTAAGTCAGGAACTTAATTTTTTTCCCCAGACATATAGTTTCCTCTTTTGGAATCAATTTTTGGTTGTAAATAATTTTAACCAGGTCAATGAAAACTCCAGAGCCCCACAACCTTCTACACAAAATGCATGCACAAACAGAAGCACACAGGAGGCCTGAACACAAAGCGCATCTGAGACTCACCTGCTCTGTGTGCCTGCTGAGGAAGAACCCGGTGCAATCTTTGTAGTAGTGCTTGTGCTGGAAAGCAGGCTTTTCTGAAGCCCAGCTGCAGAGGTAACTGTTGGTGTTGATGTGGTGCTTGGAACACTAGAACTAATCAAATCATCTTGTCTTCTACCAAAGGAGCAACTAAAGGAAAGAGTCATATCTATATAGGATGTGTCTGTAGGTGTATTCTATAGTCAATGCCTATACATTACACAGATTCACAAGGCTAGGAAAAAAAAATCTTAAAAGCTGTGTTCCTAAATACACCACCGGCTCCAGCACCAAGAGTTGCACCTACAACTTGCTAGAGTCTAAATGATTTCACTAATTTGGTAGTGTATCCTTTTACTAAACCCCCACCCACCAACAAGATTTAAATATGATCTGACAGCTTACGTTTCTGGAACAGTTCTATGTCATATGGACGTGCCTGGAAAAACACTTTGGTTTTACTCAGGGGAAGTTAAGACTAACACTTTTGAAAAAAAAAAAATGTTTTGGCAATGGATCAAAGCCTTAGGAGTGACCCATGCCTATATTATATCTGTCGATCTTTTAGTCATTTTGATTGCTCTCAGCAGAAAAAATAATGCACAGATCTTCCACTCCCTCTCCAATATGATATTACCAACATTCCAATTCAAGGCATTTCTACTACTCTGAGTTCTAACACAAATAAAAACTTTTCAAGTCACCAAATGAGATAAATCAGGTTACTATTTCAAATGCTCCAGTCAATTACTTTATTGACTTATATGTAATTATATACAGAGTTCCTTTTCAATATAATCTAAAAGATACTTCAAAATATTTAATTTAAAAATACATAATAGGAAGGCATAAGTAGGAGCAAACTTTCAACCTGTTGTTAAATATATACTCTGTGTCTTTAAATGAAAGTTTTATTTAAACAACAAAAAATATATAAAAGCACATTTTTAATATTAACCTGAGAGCCCCAAACAAAACTGCCTCATATTTTAATAAAAGAATACATGAACGTTACTTAAGAATTATATTATTACCTTTTATGATAAGTTGAGCCTTCATTAATGGAGCTATTCTTTTTAAGATCATCTTCCCATTTTCTTCTTGTATATGAACTACTTGTTCGCAAACTTGAAGAATCTCTGTGAAAAAAAAAAATCCTTCAGATTCTGGCAGATAATTTTAAAATAGAGTTAAAGAAGTTGCACATTAATAAACATAGCAGAAGTAGAAACTGGTAAACTCCCTTAGAAAAACACTTTGGAATATTTGTTAAGAAATGAAAGCAATTCACTAAGATTCCAGTTCTAAGATTCTATACCTAAGGAATAATTGTACCTGTGAGGGGAAATAGAAATGTCTATGGGAGTTTTATTTATGATGACAAAATATTATATAATTTCAATGTCCATAGTTTGGGCAGGGGGAATGGTTACTTTAATATCAGCAGATCTACTCTACAAATACTATGTACTGATGAAAAACAATGTTTGTTGAAAATACACACTAACGTCAGTTCAGTTCAGCTGCTTAGTTGTGTCCAACTCTTGGTGACCCCAAAGATTGCAGCACACCAGGCTTCCCTATCCAGCACCAACTCCTTTGCTCAAACTCATGTCCATGAATCAGTATTGTCATCCAACCATCTCATTCTTTGTATCCCCTTCTCCTCCTGCCTTCTATCTTTCCCAGCATCAGGATCTAGTCTAAAGAATCAGTTCTTTGCATCAGGTGGCCAAAGTATTGGAACTTTCGCTTTAGCATCAGTCCTTCCAATGAACATTCAGGACTGATTTCCTTTAGGATTATTGACTGGTTTGATCTTCGTGCAGTCCAAAGGACTCTCAAGCATCTTCTCTAGCACCACAATTTGAAAGCATCAATTTTCAGCATGCAGCCTTTTTTATTGTCCAACTCACACATCCATACATGACTACTGGAGAAACCATAGCTTTGACTGTATGGACCTTTGTTGGCAGAGTGATGTCTCTGCTTTTTAATATGCTGTCTAGGTTGGTCATAATGGAGCCCAAGAAAATAAAGTCTGTCACTGTTTCCACTGTTTCCCCATCTATTTCCCATGAAGTGATGGGACCAGATGCCATGATCTTAGTTTTTGAACGCTGAGCTTTAAGCCAACTTTTTCACTCTCTTTCACTTTCAACAAGAGGCTCTTTAGTTCCTCTTCACTTTTGGCCATAAGGGTGGTGTCATCTGCATATCTGAGGTTACTGATATTTCTCCCAGCAATCCTGCTTCCAGCTTGTGCTTCCTCCAGCCCAGCGTTTCTCATCATGTACTATGCACATAAGTTAAATAAGCAGGGTGACAATACACAGCTTTGTCATACTCCTTTCCCGATTTGGAACCAGTCTGTTGTTTCATGCCCGGTTCTAACTGTTGCTTCTTGACCCGAATACAGATTTCTCAAGAGGCAGGTCAGGAGGTTCTGGCATTCCCATCTCTTTAAGAATTTTCCACAGTTTGTTGTGGTCCACACAGTCAAAGGCTTTGGCAAAGCAGAAGTAGTTGTTACTCTGCAACTCTTACTTTTTCGGATGCTGGCAATTTGATCTCTGGTTCCTCTGCCTTTTCTAAATCCAGCTTGAACATCTGGACGTTCACGATTCATGTACTGTTGAAGCCTGGCTTGGAGAATTTTGAGCATTTCTTTGCTAGCGTGTGAGATGAGTGCAATTGTGCAGCAGTTTGAGCATTCTTTGGCATTGTCTTTCTTTGGGATTGGAATCAAAACTGATCCTTACAGTCCTGTAGCCACTGCTGAGTTTTCCAAATTTTCTGACATAATGAGTGCAGCACTTTCACAGCATCGTCTTTTAGGACCTGAAACAGCTCATCTGGGATTTCATCATCTCTACTAGGTCTGTTCGTAGCGATGCTTCCTAAGGCCCACTTGACTTCAGACTCCAGGAGTGAATATTGACATTTTAGTAATCAGTGAACCAAAATGGACTGGATGGGAGAATTTAATTTAGATGACCACTTTGTCTACTAGTGTGGGCAAGAATCCCTTAGAAAATATGGATCCCTCATAGTCAACATGCTAACATATAAGACTGCTTATGAGATCTCAGGTGAAAGAAAAAGACACAAACTGAATACTATAACATGACTACAATTAAAAAGTTGTCATACTCTATATGTATTGAAAAGTGAAGAAACAAACTAAAATGTTGTCAGTGGTCAAGTAATGGCTTTTTCTCCCTTCCTTCTCCTTTGGTATTACATTCCAAATATTTAGAAGCATACATACGCTATTCAGACAACCGTCCTCTCCCTCTGATACAACCATAAAGCCTTTATTTATACTGTTATTTCATGAACATACCAATTCTGTGCCCCCCCAGACCTGCGTACCTGATGCTGCTACTGTTAGGGATACCCTCCATTCCTTCCTGAAATCCATATCCCATATAATCACAACCACCCAACCCGCATATTTTGACTCTCATGCTAGAAAGTAAAGATTTCATAGTAAAAAAATAAATAAATAAAGCAAATCATAATGCACTCACCTGTTTTCTTTCTCTTCAATGTCAGATGTACTGCCGAGTCGTCTTGGTATTGTAGGCGCAACATATGCAAGCCTAGTTCCTTTACTATCTTTCTCCTACACAATGGCGAGAAACAGAGAGTGAAAATAAACCACTGAGATGATTACAGGTGCTGCTAAAAGTATGGAAAAAGTATGCAACTACATATAATTACACCATCATCACAGTTTACTTGATAATATTTCCATCATTCCTAGCTAAACTCTAAAACTGATGTTTATCAATACTCAAGTACTATAAGCACTAAATGACAGCCTGCTAAAATTAATTTTCTTTTCTTTCTCCTTTAATCTAGAATTAGATCATTTTAACATAAGAAAAATTCCTCCACATTTTAATGACTATTTCTAAAACTTCTGTAACATATTATTTACTGTAACATAGCATTATAAGACAAAACATCCTTATTTCTTTCAGAGAAAAGAGTTCTCAAATATGATTCATTGGTAAGTCTCAATTATTTACGTTATATAAGCTATTTACTACTTTGATATTCTATGCTTTAAAAAATAACATTATACAAAACAAAAAATTATTTCAATTATATTTATCCAAATCTAAGAGTGTAGATGCCATGTAATGGAATCTGTTATATTCTCATTATATGGTATCCATCAAGTACTTGGAAGACAATAGGACAATAAATTTATACAAAATAAAAATCCTAAGATTACTTTATGAATAATTCATTTCTGAATTTCAATACATACAAATAAACATTCTTATATAGAGCAAGAAAGCTATATGGAAAAATATCTGAGTACTAAAAATGCAATGGAAAATAAACAATCCAATTACATAAAATAGCACTGAAAGAACTGTGGTGCATTGTATTTAATGCAATTTTAAATAATGCCTTTCAAAATACAGCTATTAAAATTGCTCACTAGGACAAAGCTGTGATGTATCATATGAAAAAGTAGGTAAAGAAATTGTAGATACTGGATAAATGCAACCTATGAGTATCATCACAGTCTAGAACAAATGCATTCCTAAAGTTTGAAAATCTTTCTTAATAAATAAAATTAGCTTGTTACTTGACAGATTTTACTGAGTAAAGAATTCCTTTACAGAGTAAAGGATTCCTATAATTGAGTACAGTCTCATAATTTATGTTTTGGATAAATACATCTGATTTCCCCAATAATTATATTCCATATAGATATTGGCTGAAGGTAGGTACATTTGTATTTTCATGTCATTCTTTAAATCAACTGAATTAAATTGATATGTAGATATTATAATGATACACAGTGGAGAACCAATTGTTATAGTTCTTACAGAAACCAAATTGTGAAACAGATTACCTTTTCTTTATTATCCAAAGAGGAGGAAAGTCTGGGACTTGAAGCTGAGCGCATGACACCTGCAGTGTCTTTTTCCTTCTGAGCCTCTTTAGATGCTGTGATTTCTGCAAGTGCACCATAACTGCCCGTCTTTCTAAGTCCTAACCTCCAAGATGCAGGAGACTCATCTTTTCTCTCTTCTTCTTTGGGAGAAATTTTTGTAGCTGAAGTTGGAAACTGTTTTTATTTAATTTTTCAGGAAAAGGAAAAAAAATTATCAAGACCAATCAGTCCTTAAACTGGAAAGGAGAAGTTTACAGATTAAACACTTTAAAATTACAGTTAATAGTTTCAGGAGAAACACTTACTAAGCAGGTTAATGTCTTAGTCAAAATGTAAAGATCTAAAACTGAAAAAAGAAATATTACCTGTTGAGATGTTAGGTTTAAGAACACACACTCCACACTTTGTATCACACAGAAAAATTATGATGCAAATAGAGAAGAGAAATGAGCACACCATAATGACTTAAAACCATGCATCGTTGAAACCAATATTCACATTAAACTTGTTATGTTGTAACCTAACATAAATCCTTGCACATGGAAAAGCCTCACCATAGATTTTTCACCCTTACTGGGCACAAGAACAATGCCAGTTTTGCGCAAGCCCTGCCTCCACGATGCGGGATCTACTGATTCCACCACAGGCATGATAGGAGCAATGAAATCATACTAAAGCCAATTAAAATAAAACAGGTAAAGAGACACAGATTGAAAGTTTGAAAATATAAAAGGAAGTTATGAGCAAAACAAACTTTTCTCCTTTTTTAAAAGAATTTTATAATAAAGTAAAACCCCAATACTGGGTAGCTATCTAATCTTTAAGAATCACTGGGAATAAGTTTCAGTTTTAACATAAGAGCATCTGAAAAAAATCTAACTGAGAAACTTCTAAGGCAGTTAAAAGCACAGAGAGCTGGTAATATTCTAGTATGGAGTGAACAAACTACTGCACTTGAATTTTGTTTTTATTCACTTTGTACTTGGGTTAAGAAATTTTAAATCCATCATCATCAACAAAAGTAATCATCAATATATATTTAATTCATTAATATTTTAAATATCATAGTCTTAAATTTACCACTGGATTTTTCTACCAAACATTAAACATGTCAACTAAAAACTATTTTTGTACAAATATTTATTTCATTTCAGTTTTCCAACAGCCCTAAAAACGAAACACCCATAATCTTTAACTAGTTTACTCCATCAACTACACTTAAAGAGTTTAAATATTCAACCACAGCTAAATATAGATGGTTAACACAGCAACTAACTAGTTACTACAAGCATAGGATATGTGTAATTTAAAAATAAATAACCCAAAACAATCTTTCTTTCACATTTATAGCCCAGGTTTACTGTAACAGAAGTTTAAAGGAACTTGTTAAAAGCACCATAGTGTTGGAGGTCTACTTTTTAGACAAAAAAACCTCTAGTGTTTCCAGTAATTAATTCCTATCAATAGGGTTAAAAAGAGACTCAAGACATGCGGCATTTCTCAGTTCCCAAAATGTGAACTGAGGCATTCAAGATGCAAGAACAAAATCACAGGAGTGCTATGGAATGTTTTAAAATTTTAAGTGAAGTACAGTGACATCTGTTGGACACAGTGCAAACTGCCATTACTTTTTGTAGTAGCTACTTAATAAATGAAATAAACAGGTATTCCTTTGGGTCAAATGGCACTGTGAAAAAAAAAATCCTTCAGATTCTGGCAGATAATTTTAAAATAGAGTTAAAGAAGTTGCACATTAATAAACATAGCAGAAGTAGAAACTGGTAAACTCCCTTAGAAAAACACTTTGGAATATTTGTTAAGAAATGAAAGCAATTCACTAAGATTCCAGTTCTAAGATTCTATACCTAAGGAATAATTGTACCTGTGAGGGGAAATAGAAATGTCTATGGGAGTTTTATTTATGATGACAAAATATTATATAATTTCAATGTCCATAGTTTGGGCAGGGGGAATGGTTACTTTAATATCAGCAGATCTACTCTACAAATACTATGTACTGATGAAAAACAATGTTTGTTGAAAATACACACTAACGTCAGTTCAGTTCAGCTGCTTAGTTGTGTCCAACTCTTGGTGACCCCAAAGATTGCAGCACACCAGGCTTCCCTATCCAGCACCAACTCCTTTGCTCAAACTCATGTCCATGAATCAGTATTGTCATCCAACCATCTCATTCTTTGTATCCCCTTCTCCTCCTGCCTTCTATCTTTCCCAGCATCAGGATCTAGTCTAAAGAATCAGTTCTTTGCATCAGGTGGCCAAAGTATTGGAACTTTCGCTTTAGCATCAGTCCTTCCAATGAACATTCAGGACTGATTTCCTTTAGGATTATTGACTGGTTTGATCTTCGTGCAGTCCAAAGGACTCTCAAGCATCTTCTCTAGCACCACAATTTGAAAGCATCAATTTTCAGCATGCAGCCTTTTTTATTGTCCAACTCACACATCCATACATGACTACTGGAGAAACCATAGCTTTGACTGTATGGACCTTTGTTGGCAGAGTGATGTCTCTGCTTTTTAATATGCTGTCTAGGTTGGTCATA